ATAAGGACTCTGACCTTATCAATGGATTAATCCATTGAGGAATTAGTTAACTGATTGATGAGATCAGTGGAGGTAGTGGGAACTTTAGGAACTGAGACCTAGCTGGAGGAATCAGGTCACTGGAGGCACACCCAGGAAGGTATATCTTGTCCCAGGGCCCCTCCCACCATCACTCCCTGTTTCCTGGCTACCATGGTTGAGCAGCTTTCCTCCACCCTATCCTTCTGCTCTGATGGTCAGCCTCATGTCAGGCCCAAAGTAATGGAGCCAAGACAACCATGGACCAAGACCTCTAAACCATGAGCCAAAATACATCTTCCCTTCTCTAAATTGATTTCTCAGGCATTCTGGTCACAGAAATGCAAAGCTGACTAACACAAACACATAATAAATTAACTTCAAAGCCATGCATTTCACCAAGAAAGCCCATAGCCAATCACCTAATCTTTCCAGCCATTTTGTGAATCCAGGGCATAATGAACTCAGAGCTGAGAGGCTGCTCTCCAGGAATGATGAAATCAGAGGAACTGCATTTCTGAGTGGGTGTGATGAGCTGGGGCAGGGAAGCACCTTACAAGTAGGGCTCAATTCCCACATCAACTCAACCAAGCCCAAACTACCATCATCCTCACTTTCCAGCTGAGCAAACTAGTACCCAGAAAGGCTAAGCAGCTTTCCCTTGGTTGCTCATCTAGTTTGTCCCCAGCAAAGTAGGCTGGTGCATAGCCCATATAACCCAGTTGAATGACCTGCCCACAACAAGGGACTTACCTGTGCTCACAAGCCTGCTTATACCAGTTACCCCTCCTACTCTGGTTAAACAACTCAGTGGGATACTGTGTAAACCAGTGACACAACTGTCAAAAGAAAGTTGAATTCCTGAACATTAGTTGGAATTCTTCAGAAAGATTCAACAAAGATGAATCACTAAAATACAGCTGTTGAATTTGGCATGGGTAAAACAAGGAAAATTTCATAAACTCAAAAGAGTTTACATGTATGTTTCTAGCACAAATCTTCTCACTCCATGTAAGACATGGAACTACAGGCAGAGGAGAGGCTGTGGAGAAAGGAGAGGGTCCCCGGGCCTAGACAAAGCCTTGGCTCAGATCACACTGGCTTATTCATATTAGAAAATATGGGCAACTCTTTTAAAGAATTCCCCCATATGACCATTTCTTTCTATGAAGCAGACACCCCTCATTCTATTCCTGCTGGAGAAGAGGGCATCAACTGAAAGGACAAGGCAGGTGGGGAACTGCCTGGATTTGACAACCAATTATCAAGAGGACTCTGGCTGTTTGAAAGAGAGCCTGGTTGGAGTCAGGCGCAATAAAGAGAAACACACACCACAGAGCCTGCCCTACTGCTTCTCCCACCACCCAGCCTTTCCATTTCTGACCTAAAAGAATAAAGATAGAGAAACAGACTGCCAAAGACCTCCCTGAGGCTAGTTTTGGCAAGAGAACTGCCCCCATAGTTAATTCTGGGAAGATCAATCACACCTGCTCTGGAGGTGTAAATGCCTCCTACTATTCCCTGCCCTGAAAATCAGAGAGCTGCCCAGGAGCGCTGCTGGAGCCCAACACAGGGGGTCCTACCCGGCAGACAGGAAAACCAAGGTCAATTTAGGCAGTAATTGATAAGATTTTAAAATAGAAATGACAAGCTGGTGCCTAGGTGCTTACTTTTCTCTGGAATAATAACCACATTTTTCCTCAACTAATTCTGTTAAGCTAGTAATAAGAACTTATTAAAAATGCACACTGTAAAATAGTTACTTGGAGAATTTTAATAAAGAATTATACATATGAAAAAAATGTGTGTGACATAATCAAAATATGTGGTTTCTGCAGGATCACTGCCTCAAATGAACACGGCCACTCTGGGTCATGGCCAAGCCCAGGGATCACAATGCTGGGTATGAACATTCACAGGGTGTCCTTCCAAGGGCCCAGCAGGAACATGCAGCCCCAGCGCAGGCAAGTGCAGAGCACCTGAGGACCTGCACGGAGGGGACTCAAAACAGGACAGGCACAGAGCAGCAGTGCAGTGCTCCAGGCTCAGCTCCACTTTGGGCCAGGAGAGATCCCTACACAGTACACTCCAAACTCCTCATGCAGAAGCAGCCTCAAAGCCCACTGTGTGCTCTTGCCTTAAGAACTACTTTGCTGCTTTAAGGTAACAGAAAATAACCAGAAAAATACCAGGAACTCTGCAAGAAACTCTGCTTAATCAGGAACTAAAGACCCTGGCAATTAAGTCCCTCAAAAGAGTAGCTATTATTGCAGAATATTAGCAATCCTACTACACTAGCTACATAAAAGAAGGAAATAACATCTATAAGCAATAAAATACTGGATAATAATTAACCCGTATTGGTTATTTCCTAAGTGAGGAACTGTGCTAAGGGCATTTTGTGTAGCAGTGGTTTGTTAAATCTCAACATCAACCATATTATTCCCATGTTTCTATTAAGAAAATCTCAGGGAGGTTAAGAAAACCGCAAAAGGTTACACATCTAGAAAATTGGGGTCAGAATTTGAACTCACATTCGGACTACGGACACTGTACCATGCTACACTGCCAGAGCAAGCACAGTGCCCTTCCTATAGTTTTTTTGTTTGTTTGTTTGTTTGCTTTTGGTACCAGGGATTAAATTCAGGGGCACCTGACCACTGAGCCACATTCCCAGCCCTTTTTGTATTTTATTTAGAGACAGGGTCTCACTGAATTGCTTAGAACCTCGCTGTTGCTGAGGTTGGCTTTGAACCTGCGATCCTCCTGCCCCAGCCTCCCAAGCCACTGGGATTACAGGCGTGTACCACTGCACCCAGATCCTATAGTTCTTAAAATGCACCCAAATCCTCCATCTCAATGATCCTGTACCTGCTCTTCCAATGGCCAGAGAAACACTCACTTCTTTCACTCCAGTTTGAGAATTCTTGTCCCAAAGAGCCTTTCCCACACCCCAAGAGGTCAATCTCCCGCTACTGCATTTCCTGGGGCTGTAGGCTCTTCTTTGCCAACACTGGCCATTGAACTTTTGGCACAGAGTTCTTTGGTGGCATCACATCTGTGCCCACTGCTCTGGAAGTCCCTGAAGCACGCCAGCCCCCATGCAGCATCTGACTGGGAGTGAGGTTAAATGGAGGGCTGACACCGTTAAAATAAATTTATGAAAATACTGAAAAAGTGAAGGACATAGACCATAAAATAAAGCAGCACGAAGAACCCTACAAACATGCCTGGATGAACTCTCCCTGCATGGACAGGCAGAGGACTGGACCACAGCCCCTAGGAAAGGCCTGCATCCAGCCCAGCATCACACCACAGTTACGCAGGAAGAGCTAGTCAAAAAAACACTGGAAGAACAACAGTGCCCAGGGAAGGGTGATGGCTGGCCAGGAGGAGCCAGGTGGTGAAAAGGGGGCAAGACTGACCGCAGCTGGCACAAGTAGGAAACCAGAAAAAAATGAATGGAGCAGCAGTTTGAGGCAGTGCAGGATATAATTCCTCAGAGAAAGGACACAAATATGAATATGCAGGGAGCCACTGAACACCTAAGGCTACTTTCTACCAAGCGAAACCAAAGACTACAGAGGCCCAGGAGGTTAGAATTTGGTTGGGAAGGAGCAGTGCAGCAGAGACACAGCAAGAACAGTAGTGATCAGCAGAGAGGTCCCAGAGAGACTTAACTGCAGACAGAGGAGCTCTAAACAGGGTATGGACCAAGTGGCAGGCTGGGCTAGTCTCCACCAGCACTGTCCCCAGCACTGCACTGGAGCACTTGTAAACAAGTCTCAGTGGACTCAACTGACCTCCAGTTCACTACACATCCTAACAAAATCCACATAACTGGATTGATACCATTTATACAGCAAAACCTAGCAACCAACCACATAAAATTCTTGAAGTCTAGCATCCAATGAAATATTACCAAGCATGTAAGAAGTCAGACAATATGACAAAAGACAGGAAAAGTGAAGAAAAAATTTCCATAAATGTCAGAGTTGGTGAAATTAACAGAAAATTCTCTCTACAGAGAAATTAAAAGAATGTCCTGTATATTCCAGAAAAAAATGATAACTTTTGAGGACAGAAATGCAAATAAGACTTAATTAAGTATGTATTTGAGTTATGAGAAACACAATATATAAAAGATAAACTGAAAGAAATCAACAGAAGATTACATAACTGACAAAAATGAGGGAACTCAAGGCACAGCATTAGAAGCTTTCCAAAGTGAAGCACAAAAAAAAAAATGAAATAGAGGGAAAAAGAATAAAGCACCCTTCATCTGCAGACAGGGTCAGGCAGCGTGACGGGACCTTAAGAGAAAGGAGAAGAGAAGAGATGTGCACAAAGAGAGGAATGGCCAGCTTTTAAAAATCTGCCAAGAACTGTAAGCACACGAAGAGCCCAGCACTCCAGGATCCCGTGCAGACATGCATAACGCAGGCCCCCACCAGGCTACTGGTCAGTGGCTGCAAACCAGGGACAGAGAGGTATCCTTTAAAATGTCTACTTTACATTTAATTGACAAATGATAATTTATCAATTAAAATCTTGAGTACAGTTCAAGCAGAAGACACATTACATAAAAAATGGAGAAATAAAGAAAGAATAACAGCAAACTTATCAAGAAACGTGCATTGAAGAAGGAGTCTTTATGGCACTGACCAGAATTTTTACCTGGAGAAAAACCTTTCAAGTTGTAAAGGGAAATACAGACATTTTAAAATAAGCAAAAGCTAGCCAGGCATGGTGGCACATGCCTGTTATCCCAGCGGCTCCGGAGGCTGAAGCACGAGGATTGCAAGTTCAAAGCCAGCCTCAGGAACTTAGTGAGGCCCTAAGCAACTTAGCGAGGCCCTGTCTTAAATATTTAAAAAGGGCTGGCAATGTGGCTCAGACGTAGGTTAAATGGCCTGGGTTCAATATCTGGCAAATAATAATAATAATAATGATAATAATAGACAAAAGCTTAAAGAACTCACTGTGACACACTTATGAGAAACGTTAAGGAAGTTCCGGATGGAAAGCTGATGCTACTTCAACAGAAGAAGAGTGGGAATGGCAGGTGTATGGGTAGTGCAATAACATTTCTTCATTCTTCATAATCTCTTCAAAAGGTAACTATTAAGGCAAAAATAATGTGGGGTTCATACACATGCAGAAGTAAAATAGCAATGAGATAAGAAAACAAAAAAGATGGCAAGGAAAAAGTCAAACTGTCTTCATACCCAAACAGCATGCTGATGACCCCAGTGGAACTCCAAGAAGCAGCGAGACGAGTCAGTGAGGTTTTCAAGATGCAGAACACAAGTAAATACACAGGTGGAAAGCAAATGGATGCTAGCACCAAACGGCTGGGCATTAGAACTCTTTAAATACCATTTATGGGGGTGTCAAAAATACAAAGTTCTTAGGGATAAATTTAACAAAATATTTGCAATTCCTATAATCAGAGAAATGCTAAAAGAAACTTTTAAATGAAATTAAGCCACTTTCTTGATCAGAAAATTTTGTTTAGTCAACTCCTCCCAAGTTTACCTACAAATCCAATTTTATTCTAATGAATAGCCAAACAATGGCACACATCTATAATCCCAGAGACTAAGGAGGTTTAGGCAAGAGGATTATAAAATTCAAGGCCAGCCTCAGCAACTTAGTGAGGCCTTAAGCAACTTAGCTAGACCCTATCTCAAAATAAAAAATAAAAAGGGCCAGGGATATAGGTCAGTGGTAAAGTGCTTCTGGGTTCAATCCCCAGTACCAAAATTAAATAATAAAAGTCCAGAAATTAGTTTGGTAGAAATCAATAAGCTAATTCTAAATATGAAAACCCAAAGGACCTGAAATAACCAAAACAATTTTGAAAAAAAGAAAATAAGTAGAATGACTCAGGGAAAATATACACTCATGATTTAAAGATAAACATGTAGATTAATGGAAGATAAGAGAAAATTCATAAAGAGATCCACAAACCTAAGGTCAATTTGTTTTTTACAAAGGTGCCAAGGTAATTCAGTGGAGAAAGGACATATCTCTTCAGCCAATAGTAACAGAACAGCTGAATACACGTGGGAGGCCGAATGAAATTAATCCTTAAGTAACATAAAGAACTCAAATCTTTCACTGACAAAACCCAAAACAAAACAATAAAACTTCCAAAAGAAAACACTGTGCTCTTGGGTAAGGGAAAGATTTCTTAGAGAGGGCATGCAAATCATGTGCTATAATTAAATACTGGTGAATTAAACTTGATAGAAATCAAGAACTTTTTTTCTTCAAAATAAGAAAATGGAAAACTGAGCCACAGACTGGGAAAAAATATTTGCAAAACATATAAAGGATATGTATCTATGCTACAGAAAAATCTCTTAAGGGCTTGATTCCAAGACTTGAACAGACTTGAACAGACATCGTAACAACGAATATATACAAATGATAGTTAAGCCTAGGGAAAAATGTACAATATCATTATCAGAGAAGGAAATATCAATTAAAACTACAGTGAAGGCCAGGAAGGCAATTTTTTTAATTGACCATGTTAAATATGTGAATAAAGACACTGAGAAACTGGCTCTCTCACACACTGTAAGTGGAAAGGCAAAGCAGTGCAGCTACTAAATGGTTGGCAGCTTCTAAAAATTAAATACACACTTACCACATGATCCAGTAATCCCCACTCCTATATGTTTACCCAAGAGAAATGAAAGTCGGTTCATACAAAGACTTGTATGTTTATAATAGCTTTATTTTTAATAGCCCAAACCTAGAAATAAAATATCTATCAACTCCTAAATGAATAAAACAAATTGTGCATCCATACAACGGGATGCTTCTCAGTAGTTGCTAATATGCAACAACCAGACGCAGCTCAGAAAAGTTACGCCAGGGGAAAGAGACTGGATCCTATGCAGCGCTACTAATAGGAAATTGCAGGGAAGAAGAAACCATGCAGCACTGAACAGAGCCCCACTATTTAGGATAGAGGCAGGGGAAAGTGAGCCTGTCAGTGAGCATGAGAAGACTTCTCAAAGTGCTGGGCAATGTTTTATATCCTGTAATGCAGTTATGATGGCAAACTCTGTATTTTGTTAAGACTCATTTTAACAAATTAAATTTTGGTGAATTTCATCATGTGTGAACTATACATCATCAAAGTGACTTAAAAAATAATAAGAAAACATAACATCTGCCCATTCTTCTCTTGTTTCCAAGCCAGGTATCATTGAGGCTACAGTGAATTCTTGACAAGTTGCTGACACCAATGTGTTGAAAACATCTCTTCAGAAGATTGAACTCCCTTGCTCTCCGTTTTATGAAGTGACCTTGTGATCTGAACACTGAACACTCTCCTTAAGATCCCCAATTAAGATCCAAAGAATGCAGAACAGTTGTAAGACCACAAGGAGCTGCATAACCTTTAGGAACACCTTAATTTTTAGTAAAGGCATGTAAGAATGTACATGAAAATCCCAAGCCTATTCATATTGGCCAGTAAGGTCCTATTTGCCTGAGTGACACTGGAAAAGCACAATCCCTCTTTCTGTGTACTCTGTCCAGAAGGAAGCTACTAACCTATCAGTCTGTATATCTCAGCCTGCTAGCAAATAATTATCTCACAGTGAGAAATAATAAATGGCCATTCTGCTCTCTAGTCCCAATTTTCCACTCCCCACAGTCACTACGCTAGGCCAGTATAATGTCCTAGAGGTGCATGGGCTTTGGATGACAAGGCTCAAATCCTAGTTACTGAGATTTCCAATAACATGAAAGTAGAGTTGAAGAGAATGGAATCCCCTCCCTACCCACATACCCCGACCCAAAAAAATTTCAATATTTTAAAATGGAGTAAGAAAGGAGGAGAGAAGGACATCCCCAAGGCCAGAAAGGAAGATAGAAATCAAAGAGAAGGCAGTCAGCAGAAGGTGACACCTCACAAACAACATTTAAGACCTAGATACCCACCCATGTAGGGATAACAGGTACAGAAAATGAACTGAAATCAGGGCCCAATACAAGGCAGCTGTCTGTCTAGGTGGTGGAGACACTCCTGAGAGCATGGAAACCAGAACCTACACAGCCTAGGCTTAGAGTCCAAATCAACACTGCCCCAAAGTACAGAAGCCCTAGCCTACCAAGATGAATATTGTGCAGACTCATGAGAAAGTCCCAGGCATCCTAGCAGAAGAAAACGAGAAAGTGTTCCAAAGAAACCCTTACACAGCCCAGACACATGGAACTTCACAGCACCACCCCGAAGACAATGAACATTCCACACTACACCACATGCAGCTGCAAACCATTACCAAAAAGTGTTAGCACTGAAAAAAAAACAGAGTTCACACTTCAAGATTAGAAATATCTAACGTGTAAAAGAAATCACATGTTTGATTATGTGATTATCAAAAAATATACTTAGAATCTAAGATTTTTTAAATTTACATCATAATCAAAAAGGAAAAGAGGGAGGAGAAGACACATTCAACAAAGATCATGTAGAAATGGAAAATTAAGACAATGTAATTAATATTTCAGTAACTAGTAGAAGCAGAAGAATAGACACAGCTCAAGAGAAAGTTAGTGAGCTGGAAGGCTGATCTGCCAAACCATCCAGAATGCTGCATAGAGAAATAAAGAGTGGAAACTATGGATGGCAAAAGGACCCACGAAGAACAGGATGTTAGGGCCTAGGATAACTCCAACAGGAATCCCACAGAGATAAGGAACACCGGAAGGGGCAACAAAGATATGATGGCTAATAATTTTTCAGAACTAAAAAAAAAAAAAAAAAAAAATGAATACTCAATTTTAAATACAAATGCTAAACTGAATATTTAATAACAAATCCATATCCAGATGAACTGCAGAACACTAAAGATTAACAAAAACAGAAAAATTAAAAAGCTTAATTCCCAGATTTCTCATTGAAAAGTATTAGAGAAATAACTGTACAATTAGTAGGAGTAAGAGGTCTTGAATCAGAACTAATTCTGATGTACAGCTAGGTACTTATTAGGTTTGCAACCTTGGATAAATATCTTACCTGATTCTTGGTTTCCTCAGCTTAAAGGGTGTATGAAAATGCCTAACTCAGAAGATTGTTGAAGGACAGGCTCAATGACATAAGATAAAGAGACAGATGACAGAGACATGCAATACCTGGCACAAGTAAGTTCTTTATTATTAAGTCACTGAGTACATAATATTACTGATATTGTTTATGTTTATATCTCTAGTGTTCAGAACAACCATAATCACTAGAAAATTTAGGGAAGGGAAACTGAAGGAATTCTAGAAAGAAGAAATTCAGAGACGGCAACCCTCTCCATTAAACCCTGCCCAAACCATGATTTGATCCTTAAACCATGTAATTTGTGTGGCAAACTCAGTGCAGCACAGCTAGGACAAAAGAACTGAACTGAGATTTGGGAGTATTATCCTTTATGTGAAAGAAAAGGTAACATATCTATCACCTCAGTTGATCTAAGTAACTAATAATGTTTTTTTAAAAAATCAGTACTCTTTGGATGCATATGCAGAATCCAGAGACTTTACAACATGTAACATTCTACAACACATAACATTCACAATATCCAGGTTACAATCCAAAATTAGTATACAAAGAAAGTAGGAAAACATCAACTAGTTGAAAAGATAAAAATCAAAACAGACTAATTCCCAAATGCTGGATTACCCACAAGGATTTTAATAATGGTTATAAATGTAAAGGAAAATGTGCCGGTGTGAATAAAAAGATGAGAATTCTCAACAAAGAAGTGTTATTCAAAGACAACAAATAAAAATTCTAGAATAGAAACAATATATGAAATATTAAAATTCACTGAAGTGACTCAAAGAAGAAAGAATATGACAAAAAATAAACAGAAATTTCCCAAATTTGGTAAAAGATATCTGTGTCCAAAATAAGGAAACTTAATAAATCCAAAGAGGACAAATATTCAGAAAACTTCACTTAGCCACATCATACTCAAATTACCAATAACCAGATATGGTAATTTTCAAAGCAGCAGGGGAAAAATTACATACATGGAATAATAATATGAATGATTTCTACTCCTCACCAGAAAGAATGAAAGCAGAATACAGTGAAACCATTTCATTAGAGGAATTTTAAAGAAAAAACTGTCAACACAGAACTTGATATTTGGGGAAATTATTCTTCAGGAATGAAGATGAAATAAGACTTTCTCTTCCTTCTCTGAGGCTGCTGGACTCTCATGGATTGAATCCTGGTAATCAAAGACTCAAGGAGACTGCTTTCCATGGAAATGGACATTTATTAAGTGTCTGCTGTGTGCCAGACATTATATAATATGGTCCAAGTGTTTAAAGGGCCTCCAAGTCTAGCTATAGACAGAAATAGTCTAGTTAGAGTTAGTACTATCATATGGATGTGAGAACCATGAGCCTGCAACTCTCAGAGCTAGTTGTTGGTGTACTGGAAGCCAAGTGTGTGGTCTGTGCAGAGGCTGCAGTGTTAACAGTGAGTGGCACAAAGGGTGGTGTTGGATAACAAAACCAATGGGAACAGTGCAAAAAAAATTACAAAAGTTTAAATTTTCCAAGTCCACTTGGAAAAAGTTTGGTAAATTTTCTCAATCATTAGTATTTCAACTATTATACACAAATCAATAACAACTAATATGTTAATTTTTTTCAGACCAGAAAAGCATAGTTAACCCTTATGAAGAAATGATGTGCATCAATTTGGAGTACTCGATTTTAACATATATTCACAGTATTCCCATGCATCCTCAGTTTGCACCAAAGACAATTTAAAGAAAAAGTATTAGAGAAATAACTGTATAATTAGGAGTGAGAGACCTTGAATCCGAACTAGTTCTGACACAATTTAATAATAAACTAAGTAATACTAGCACCATTTTTTCAAAAAAGCTTCACATAATGACCACACCTTACTTTTTTTGCAAAAAAAAAAAAAAAAAAAATTTGGCACAAAATCTGTGACAACTATATGATGAAAAAAAGTAAAAGCAAGTTTCCTTTGATGCCAGCATGTCCCACACATTTCCCCTAAGACTAGCAATCTGCCTTTGAATTCAGTCTCTTATTCAGAATCACTGAAGGCAACTGCATCTACCTAGAACTTAGTAATTACTGTTTTTATTTCTGTTTTATGGTATATTGTGTTAAGTTTCATTTAGAGCAATGAATAGAAGTTTCCCCAAATTGTTTTAAATTAAGGAAATTATTTTATATAAAGAAAAATATAGGTAATATATGGACAAGGTAAAAATTATAAAAGGGGCACATAAATAACTGATTTCTAAAAAATCTGGTTGGATGCAAATCAAGAAAACTACTTTTAATAATAATCTCATATTTATATGCAAATAGCTTTTATTCTAAGTACTGAAAATCCTTTTTTTTTCTGTATAAGTAAACATATTCCCTTGTGTGGATCAATATCCTGGACCCTTTCAAAATCTTAAGATCCTACTTGAGTTCAAATTAGATTATCACTACTTACTTATAAATGGTATATGAGTTTCTTTTTGTTTTTTTTTTCTTAATTACTCCTTAAAAACACCAGGATTTACTAAAATGTATAAGCAAGATGTGGACTTTCTTTCCTCACAATGAATGAAAATAGCCAACATTAGCTTCAATGTCAATTGTAACTACGGTGATTAATAACCTCTTCCCATGATTTTTATTTTTTAATTTTTTTGGCCAAGTCTTCAAAGACAAACTAAATCAATCAACAGTCTATGAACTATGTAATATTCAAACAGGTTTCTCAGCCTCAGCACTACTGACCTTCTTTGATGTGAGGCGTTCCTTGCACTGTAGGATGTTCCGCAGCAGCCCTGGCTTCTATTTACCATGTGCCAGGAGCACCCTCCCCCAGCTGTGACAATCAAAACTACCTCCAGACATAGATGTCACTAGGGTAGGAGGTATGACAAAATCACCCTATTGAGAAGCACCTGGAGGAGAAAGGTGTCCTGCACTGGTTACCTGCACTGGTTACCTGCCCTGCTTACCTGGGAATTCCCACCTCCTCTCCTCTCCATCACCACTTACACCAGACTTCAGGGCTCTGCTCACACACTCAGTCACCTCCTGGACAAGAGCCTGGGCACTGGCTGTTCCCATGGACTGGCACTCTCCTCTCCGAGATGTCTTCTCACGTCATGTCCTCTCTTTAAAATCTTTACTTGTGCATCCTCCTCTCAGGAAGGTCTTCCACCTTATTTTGAAATTGCAAGTCCCCCATCTGTACCCCCAGATCTACTTTTCAGTTTTTCCATAGAAGTCCTCACCTCCTAAAGCAAAACAAAACAAAAAAATAAAAAACAACTTTACTTGCTATGTTTACTGTTTATCACCCGTGCCCACTCCCCACTCCCTCACCCCCAGATCAAGAATCTAGATCAACTCATTGCTATGCCTGGCATGGCAGGCACTCAATAAAAGTTGTGCAGTGGAGGAAGGAATGGAAAGAAATGCCAAGCTAGTTTGCTGTGTCCCCTGACAATGAAAGTAGCACATAAAATGAGTCCTGCTCTCTAAAGGGTTTTCTAGAATACATTTCTGGGCACTGCTAAGATGACGTATTATCTGGTAGCTACTGACAGGAATAAAGGGTCTAGGGCCACATGGTAGAATCACGAGCAGTCCATTGTTCTAGGACCCAACAACTCTAGGCTACACGTGAACCTCAGGAATCTTAAGGTTCATGTCAGAAATGGAATATGAAATAGCATATAAATCATTCCTTGTTCAAATTGTTTGCATTGTAGTTTTTACATTTGGTGAGAGGGAAATTACCAACTCCATTCATGAAAGCCCAAAATAATGCAGAGAAGTAAAGTTTTCTGAAGAAAATCATTTCTAATAATAATTCCATGCTTTCTTGGTCCAGTTTAAAGTATAAAGTAAACCAATATTTATCATGTTTTTCTTTCATTTGCATTTATGATATAATAAACTGTCACATTTAGGTTCACTGGCAAGTTTACATGGGACATCACTGATTTTACCAAAAAAAAAGGATTAATAATTTAAATTAGCAAAGGACAGTTGTAGAAGGACCTAGAAGAAGTATCAGTGTGACATGCAGGTCTGTGGCCCTTGCTAGCATCCCTAGTCCACTGTGCTGCACACATACAGACTGCCCAGATTCCCTGAACTGTGCTCAACATCCCTATAGTCCAGTGCTATGGGTTTCCAACAGGAAGTACAAGTCTAAAACTCCAATAGCTAAGACATAGCTCACCTCTACCATCTAACTTGAACAAGGTGATTCAGAGCTCATATAACCAAAATCAGGATCAGTAGGTCCTGTCTGTCCTGTTTACAAAAAATAACACTTGATGCCAGGTGAATGTTTTTAAAAAACAAACAAACAAACCAAAGCCCTTCTCTGATTAAAATGTCCACCAGAAAAACATACTTGGGAATCCTACCATACAGAAATAGGATTTACCCTCCTCTATGGTAACCAGTCACTCAAGGGCTATCGACCACAATAAATGAATACTGTCAGCACCTTCATCATTTAAAACAATCTGGAACATAAAATAAATCAGACAAGAAGGCTGTAGTGAAAAACACTTTGAACCCCTGAGTTTTTGCCTGTTTTTTACGAGACATCAATCTGTCTAAGGCTAAGTATAAATTAATATTCTAAGTCTGATGTTAGGTGAATGTGTTTCACAGGCTCAAAGTACAGTAGACATAATCTAACAAAAAGAGAAAGAAATGTTATAAATTATTTTACAGCAAGAAAAGAATCAAAAGATTAGTCTGAGAGCAGAAAGCCTGTTAGTAGCAAACCATCCCATTGTGGTTAACTCTGACAGCAAACCACAACCCAACAGAGCACTGGGGATCCAGAGGCAAATGGACAGGGCCCCAGATTCCGAAAGCTCCCGAGGAATAAAAGTCATCTCATGCACAACAACCCATAATGCCACAATGGCAAGAGCCATGGGAAACTGCCAGGAGGAGACAGGCTCACTGGGAGGAGGGCAGAGGGATGGAGACATCTCTCCAACAGAAGCAGGATACCAAGTGCGCCTTGAAGGTCAAGTGAGTATCTTCCTCATGGGAAAAGAAAGGATCTGTGGAAGGGAGAACAACACTCCAGACAATGGCCTGAGCACAGCAGAGGCAAGTCTGCTACCTTCAAGTGGCTCAGAGACACTGGAGACTTCACAGAACACCACCATGCCCTGACTAAACAGCCACACTAAAACTGTTTTAAGTGAAAAGTAAGAAAAACTCAACACAATAAAACATACCCCATGATATTCTTTTCTGTCTCAAGACATGAATAGGGCTGGAGCTGGAGGCAGCACACGAGGACACATCCATCCCAGAAAGCATTTTCATCAAGAACCCCTTCTCCAGGCACTCCCAGGATTTACGACTCTCCATTCAACATGTCATCCTGGCACCATAACTCTGGATAAGATATGACACCCTGGGCCAGACCAATCATCCATATGACCCAATATTCTGTCTCTGACACAGTGCTAGGGGAACTCTGGATGGAGAACACACAATAGACATGGTCTACTATGTCATGTCCAACTCAAACTGTCAGAAGATTGGTTATGGGTAGCCAAGAAGCTGGTAAGCCCTATTTACAAAACTAGTATTTTTTTAAAAAAAAAAAAAAAAGAAGAATGTACTAACTAGAACTTATATAAATAAGTTTTAGGGGCTATCAATGGCCATCTTTGAAGAACAACTCTTTGAAAGGTTTTACATGATTTGAAGGAAACTTGAGTAAAACCATTTCCTTGTTACTTAAAATGGTTGTAACATGGTTTTGTTCTTCTCACAAGTATTAATGCAAATTCCTTAATTGGAACTACCTTTATGAGCTAAACCAGATAAACTTAACCTATCTAAAAGACAAAGAATGCTCTTGACTCATTACTGGCTTTTGTAGGGGAACTGACCCCCAAGACTGCAGATCCTTGTTGACTTAACTAAATTTCAACGGCAAGTTGCACAGGCAAACTTCCTCTATATAAATGTCATTCTCTAACAAGACCCACGCTGATTTATTAGCTCTCATATGAGCAGATCCGTCCAACACATAATGTTTTATATTGCAAATCTTTGAGGGCTACTGATGGTTATTACTAGCACTAGGCAATGGGCTGGATGAAAGACCAACTTAATTCATGAGCAGCCGTCCTCTCTACACCATGCATACATGGAAATTCCTCTTTGATTTGTGGCTTTAATCAGGGCTTCCAAAACCCGTCGTTATTTATGACTCTGACTTTTACACTGGCGGTCAACGGGAAGCATTTACTCAGGTTACCTGCTAGGTGAGAACTCCGCATCTTCAAGCAGTTCATGTGCTTCACTTTGACATTACACACCCCAATATTCCTGCCAACCCACCCAGTTAGACAGAGAAAGAGAAGGTGAGTGCAGTAGTCCACACAGTATTAATGAATGGAATGATAGTACTTTAAAATGCTGCTAGAAGATGACCTAAGACAGAATGCCATTTCAGGAACAAGGAGGAGGAGCACCTAACCCAATTTTGGAGGGAGTGGAGGTGTCGCACCAGTTTCCCACAAGATCAGTCTTTGCTGAGTCTTCCCTTGCCAGCAGCGACAGCTACCAACCCCATTCCCTGCCCTCCTGCCTGTCTTCCTTATGGTATCCCACCCCTGACTGGATCCCAGGAACACCCTGGGCTTTCTTGGCTTGCTTCTCCACCAGCCCACCTTTTCTTGAATCAGCTCTCGTCACTCCCCTGGTTAAAATTCCCCAGTGACTTCCCATGACTCCTGAATACAAGGCAAGGCCTTCAGGACTTGGGTAGCTCAGGGGTATACTTCCCTATTATGTGCAAGATGCTGGGTTTGATCCCCAGCACTGTTTAAAAATTTAAAAAGCAGACACTTCACCTTGAGACAGACTTAAGGCCCACAAGTGGTACGGCCCCACCTTCTCCTCCCACCTCTAGGGTCTGTCACTGAGAGCACTCCAGACACACAAGCCTTCCAGCTATTCCTTGACAGGGAAGAACTACACCTGGGCGCTTCCTCTAGCTCTTCATGTGACAATCTCTGTCTTTACTTGAGTCTTAACTCAAGAGCCTCTCTCAGAGCTTGGAGAAGCCTCAGGCAGTCACAGCAAGCAGTGCTTACATCCCTCCAGCCACACTGCACTGGGACTTTCCATCACACTGGCTTTGCAATGTGTCCTTCATAGCACCTGAAATTATCTCATTAGTTTATGTTCACCAGTTTAATGTCCTTCTCTGCTGCTGGACTCAAAGCTCCATGAGAGGAGAACCCAGGTTTTTTTTACTCACCACTGTGTCCACAATGCCTATGTAGTTCTGAGACTTAACAGGCCCTCAATAAACATTAGTTCTGTGAATGAATGAATGCATGCATAAATATGAGTGAATGATGAGACGTCCAAAGAAGAGTGTGCCTAAGATGAATTCTACCGTCAGTCTCTGACTTAAATTCCACCCCTGCCACTCACTACCTGGGTTACTTGGGGCAAGTTACTTAGCCTTTCTGAGCCCCTTTTGAGCCTGCTGAACAATAAAATGAAGTTAAAAATACCTGTCTTATAGGGGTTTTGTACTCAAATTAAAATGTTAGAAGCACTCAGAACACGGATTGCCATATCATTAATCCTAAAAAAACAATAGCTTTTGTAGCACAGCCAGGGTTGCCTTACTAAGACTTAAGTTCCAGCAAAACATCTAGCTGGTGGAGCAGATTCTTCCCTTGACAGTCATCAGTCCTATCACCCAGTCTCCTCCTATTCCTTATCTCCCACACACCCCTTATTTCCAAGTCTCCCACCTGCTCATCAAGCCTCATCTAACAGGGCAGGCTGTCTCAAAACTCCACCTCTGTGCATATTTTGCCCAGAGAGCTGCCTTCCTCAGCGTCACCCCACTCCAATGTCACACCCCCACCTCCTTCAGCGCACAGTCCCCCTCTCTTCCTGGTGCCCTAGCTCTTGCCTCACTCTCCTATCTCTATCTGTACCACCTTTACTGTCTGCCACCCCTCTAGGCAGGGAGCATCTCAGGAGGTGGTCCCAAGGCTTCTTCATGCCTCTGTGCCTAGCACTTCCTGTAGTCCTGGCACCTTGGAAAAGTTGGAGGGACACTGGTTTCATGGGTGACTGACTATCAAACGTGGTAGCCAACCATGTACCCTCACCTCTTTGTTTCTTCCCATCAGGGTTAAGACTAATGGGCTTTTTGAAGATGAAAAACATTTCCTCTTCCATTACCTACGTTTGTTACAAAATTTCTGTCTAATAAAAAATGTTTAAAAAATTTATGATGTGATTTTATTCTTATTTGTGATGAAGATAGCCATTTACAACTCTTTTCCAAACAGAGATAATTTCAAGGAATTGCTAATGTTCATCTGTTGGCTTCACAGGAAATGAAAAATCCAGGACCTTCTCTGATTCTAGCCTGCCCTGAGCAGCTTTGGTCCACCACACCCTCCCACCACGATGCTCTGTCTCACCTCAAACCCAGAGCAATGGAGTCAGCCAACCATGGACTGCACCCCTGAAACCAATCAGCAAAGAGGAAGACATGCACTGTTTTGAGAAGAAATATGATTTGATCATCTTTCCTGGCAAATAAATTCCCCTTTCTATCCAAAAAGTCAATAAAAAGTTTCTATGAAGATGGCCAAGTAGAGGAGCCCAGTGTTGGGCTCCACTTCTACAAAGAAGAATCAAAATACCAAGTAAGGAGTTGTGTTTCAAGCAAAGCTATCCTTCAGAAGTAAGGAAGAAACAGACTTTCCAACACAAGCAAAAATTGAAGATTCAAGCCCACCTGACCCAATTATTGGATACTAATTGGACTCCTGCATCAAAAAGTGAAAGAAAGAGAGTTACTACGATGAAAACATTAAAAGTATAAAGCTCAGAAGAAGAACAGATACACAAGAGAAAAGGGAAAGAAAATCTTATTAATAGAGTAAAGATTCAAACTACAAAGATGAAAAATAAGAGAGGAATAAAAGATCAAGGAATATTCAAAATAAACATATGAAATTTAACAAAATAACAAAGCTAAGACTTGTACTTAGCAATAATAACCTTGAATGTAAATTGGAAAAAAATCAATTAAAAGATACAGACAGAGCCAGACATGGTTGCACATGCCTAATATCCCAGCGACTCAGGAGGCAGGAGGCAGGAGGCAGGAGGACTGCAAGTTCAAGATTAGTCTCAGCAAAGTTCTAAGAAACTTAGTGAGACCCTGTCTCAAAAAATATGGGGATGTGTCTCAGAGGTTAAGCACCTCTGAGTTCAATCCCTGGTACCAAATACACACACACAAAAAAAAAGATACACAGAAGAAAAAAAGAGAAGGAAGAAGAGGAAGAAGGAGGAAGGGAATGAAGTGGCAAAGGAGAAGTGGGAGAAAAGTAAAATAAAGGGCAATCAAAGTGAACAGCCCAGAGCAGGAGGGGAACAAGGCTGGACCTGCTTCCCCCACTGTGACTCTGGTCCCCTGCTATGCTCATCCCAACAAGAAAACAAGTTCATTCTCAACTAGCACAGGACAGATGAGACCTCAGGTGGGCAACTTGCCAAGGGGCTTTCTACAGAACAGGGTGGTCCTGGTTCAACACTCAGCTTTCTCCCTGATCCTGGGAGAGGCCCTGGTCAGTTTGGCTCAGCTCAACAGTCATGGCAGCACTAAGGGAATAAAGCCAAGCGTGACTTAGAGCAGGGGTCCGCAAGCCACCGCCCAGGAAGCCAATCTGCCTACTGCCTATGTTTGTAGATAAAGTCTTGGAGGACACAGCTATGTAGTCATTTATGTGAGCTTTACAGCTGCTTCAGGTTATAACCACAGAGCTGAGGCTGTGCCAGAGATCTTCAGACCTGAAAAGCCAAACTCAGTTGTAATCTGACCCTTCATGGAAAAGAATTTGCCCATCTCTGATTAAAAAAATAATCTGATATCTGAGTTTTTTCCCTAGTCCTCAAGTATAAGAGTACTAAATTAGTTGCCAATCCTATTCAAATTATTTCACTTGACAGGCAAACTTTTATAAAAATGTTATAACTGACAATCTTTGATCCAAATTTATACTAGTCAGATAAAAAGTCCAATAGTTTTGGGCTCAAATTAATGAAATACCTCTGGCCTGGAGGCCAGCAGCTTAGTTATAGTCCTTGACAAGGGCTTTTTCGCAATCATGGAACAAAGCAGGTGGACCGGAATGCCCTGGCCCTGGAGACATCTTTCATTCAAGGTGACATGCTTTGTACTTTTTAGCACTAAGACTCTGAATATGTCCATATCCCACTGGCCTGGCCGAGCCTATTTTCACCAGGGCTCCAGATATCAGTTGGCACCTGGCTTTTGTTATACATAGTATGCCCTCTTCCAAGCTCTTTCACAGATACCCTTTGAAAACTAAGCATTTGAAAAGAAACATTCATTCTCCCCAATACTAATGTTTTTATGAGCCGTTCTTTTGAAGCTGATGCATCTATAACTCTATAATGACTTCAGAATTAAAGTCCACTTCAATTCCCTTGCTGGTGCTTGATCATGTGATGCTCCTCATTTTTAAAACATCTCTTGGAAAATTTTTAAACATGTAAAAATAGAGAGGCTAGTCCCCAGCCATTTTTTTCCATGACCCCTTCTCCTAACCTTTTATTTAATATTTGTTGCAGCATTTAAAAGCAAACGTCACACATCAAATCATTTTACTCATGAAGGCTTGTTTGTTTTGGATAACACCTTTATCACATCCAACAAATAAAAAAATAGCACCCATTATCACACCCAACAAAATTAACAAGAATTCTTGCTACCAATACCCAGTCTCAAGCTCAGTGCTCTTCAGCTATCTCTATGACGTCCTTCCCTGGAGAGTGCAACCAAGGGTCCAAACACGACTGCTGCGTCAGTCAGCTTTCCTCCACTAGCGCAAAGTGCCTGAGAAAAGGAAAGATATATTTGACGCACACTTTCAGAGGTCTCAGTTCTGAATGGCTGGTTCCAAAGTCAAAACATCATGACAGAAGGACATGGCAGAGGAAAACTGCTCACCTTACAGCAGCAGAGAGGGAGAGAGGAAGGGAGAGAGAGAGAAGGGAGGGAGGGAAGGGCTGGGGACAAGATAAAGTCCCCAAAGCCCCCCCCCATTACAACTCCTACAGTCTCTACAAACTCCAAGTAGTCCATTCAAATTATAAATCCTCCAACAGATTAACCCACAGACGAGGTTAGAGGCCTCGTGATCCAATCATTTCTTAAAAGCTCCACTTTCGAACACTGCTGAATTGGAGACCAAGCCTTTGATATATGAGCCTTTGGGGACATTCTAGATTCAAACCATAGCAACTACATATTATAATTTGTTGACAAGTCTCTCAGGTCTCTAGATTTGCAATAGATTCCTTTCATTTTTTTTCCCACCCACTTTTGTTCATCCATTAAATTCTAAGTTGGACAAGCAAACCTTACCAACAATAATACTTTTTCAGCCTTCACATGTTATAAGCAACCCTAACATTCACAGACCCTCAGCCCCTTAGGCTGACTCTTGAGCTCCACCTTCCACAGGCAGTGCTACGTGAAAACCAATATGCTAGGCCATCCCCCCACACTTTCTGCTCTCCAGAGAAGGAATTTAGATTGCTTCAGCAAGCCAATTCCCTAAAATTAAATCTTTCCGGTGCTGTGATGGCCCGAAGACTCTGAATGATTTTAAAAAAACAAGGCACCCATTCATTATGGTCTCTTTTATGAATTAACCAAACTTAATCAAGAATCACAAAGTAAATCAAACACACCTAGGGACCCATTATTGTTAACATAACAACATTAATTGAGCACCTAGATCATGCAGCACATTGAGTTATAAGAAAGGATGACCTACATCCCTGCTGGAAGGGACTTACAGTCTAAACCAAGAAGCATTGCATCATTTAAACAAAAGTGCCCAAGGGGACAACAGACACAGTACCACCCAAACTGACACCTATCCCCCAATCACTGGGTTAAGTCATTATAGCGAGTTGTGGTGGTGTGTGCTGACATTTCCAGCTACTTGGAGGCTCAGGTAGGAGGATCACTGTAGTCCATGAGTTGAAGATAAGCCTGGGCAACAGAAAAGATCCTATTCCAAAAAAAAAAAAAATTTAAAAAGAATATTTGTGAGACTAATCTGCACAATGGAATAAAAGGAACAAGAGTCAGAAGGAACAGAATTTGATTGTTAGTTCTACCATTTACAAATTGTGCCATACTAGATAAGCTATTTAGTCTAATTCTCAGGGTTGTTGTTTTTTTCATTTAAAATGCAGGTAATCCAAAATACCTCACATAGTAGCAGCTGAACAGAATACCCACTACTGAACAGAATACCCACTACTAAACAGAATACCCACTATGCCAGGCATTGGGTTACAATGTTTTATGTGTACTATCTCATCTAATCCTTAAGCCAACACTAGGATACATCACCTATCATGCCATTTTCCAAAGAAATTAAAAAGGCCAGGTGCTGTGGCACATGCCTGTAATCCCAATGGCTTGGGAGGCTAAGGCATGATGACCACAAGCTCAAAGCCAGCTTCAGCAACTTAATGAGGCCCTAAGCAATTCACGAGTCTATCTCAAAAAAAAAAAAAAATATGAAAAAGGGCTGGGAATGTGGCTCAGTGGTTAAGCACCCCTGATTTCAATCCCTGATTCCTGGAGGAGGAGGAGGAGAAATAAACAGATTGGGCGAGTGATCCACCCAAGCCAACCCAGCTACAGGTTATGGAAAGCCAGGAAAGGCTAGTAGGGCTTCAGAGTTCTTGGTGTCAATCTGTGTGATAATGCCACCCAAATACTCCAATCATCAAGTATAAGACACAAGGCAGCACAAATTGAGGGACTATACCACCAGTGAAATGCCACATCATGTACAATCACAAGAATGGGATTCTAATTAGAAATAAGTTATATTCCAGTTATGTATAACGTCAAAATACACTCTACTGTCATGTATATCTAAAAGGAACAAATAAAAAATTAAAAAGATCAAAAATACTAAACCAAAAATACAAATAAATGAAAATAAAAAATAAGTTGAGGGGTAGGGGAAGACCTCCTACTACCGGCTATTAGATTCACTATACTCCGAAGTCATCAGGCACAGCACCTTGTAGCTCCCACCCCTATCCAAACAAGAAGCCGGAAGAGACTCCCAAAGTTGTCCTACCTGAGGAATGATTATGTCCAGAACCATATGATGGTTTACTTCCTTACTGGGGCAAGTCTTCAGCCATCTGCTAAAGAGTATATGAGCCTTTTTTACTACAAGTCTCAAACACCCAATACTTATATTCAAATAAGGCCAAAGAGAAATCATAATTTTTCCTTTGTACTCTTTTACTTCCCTTTCACACATATAAATATATAAAAAAGACTGAAGGAAACTAGCCACCAGCAAGAAAGTTCAACTCCCTGTGGCCACCACACCATGAGAAGGCCAACCAAGCCAAGCAGAAACATCACCTGGAGAACTCAGGTCCTTGCAGGAGTACCACCTCGTCAAACCAGAAAATGAAAGAAATAATAAAATGCTGTGGGGTTAAGCTGCTGAGATTTGGGTTGGCTAGACAACTGAAACTGGTAGAAAAGTTTTTCCTGCTAGGCCAAGCATCAAATCTATGAATGAAAGGCACCTTGATGGCAACTCACCATCATGTACCAGGGAAATGACACATTCCTTTGACTTGAGGATGCCCACAGGTAAAACTACTCAGCTCTTAGAACCCAGGTTTAAACTGTACCTGGCTCAAGAAAGTTAAATATTAGTAATGCTCATATTAATAACCATAATGGCAGCCAATATTTACTGAGTGTTTATTACATACAGGCTTCATATTAAACCCTTTATATATTCAATTCTCACAAGTCTTCTGAGGTGGGCTGCTATGATTCCCAATTTCAAATATGGTCACTAGCACTTGCAGTGGTACACTAACTGGCCCAGGATCACACTGCTAGTAAATAACGAGTAAGGTTTTCATCCTGGTCCATATAACCCCAGAGAGGGAGTTCCCCACATACTTCTATCGCCCCTTCAAGTGTGCTGCTGCTACTTCAATAAAGTTGCTCTCTTTTTTAAATTTTTTAATATTTATTTTTTAGTTTCAGGTGGACACAGTATCTTTATCTTATTTTTATGTGGTGCTGAGGATGGAACCCAGTGCCTCTTGCATGCTAGGCAAGCGCTCTACCACTGAGCCACAACCCCAGCCCTAAAGTTGCCCTCTCTAAAGAGGGAAAGGGTGTAAGATTTAACACTGCCTGGTCTGTGGAAGCCTTTCAGTCAACACCAGCTCTTGGTAGGAAATCTGCAGATGGTAAGGGTAGAGGGGCAGTTTCCTCCCTGACCAGGACCTCGAAGGCCCAGACCACAGGGAGCTATTTTGGCGATTTACACTGGCCTTCCTCACCCCCGGCACCCCTGGTGTGGAGGCCACTTGTAGCATACTCGTGTGGCCCGGCTTAGACCCGCGGAGCGGCAGCTCTTTCTGGTCCACCTAGGCCGTGCAGAACCGCAACCGGCGCGAACCAAGAGAACGGACAGAAAGTTAAGGCTTCACACACCACGAACCACCCCCCCACACACACGAGCAGCCTCAAAGTTTTCCAAAGAAAAGGAGAGTTCTTGGCAGGATGGGACAGTGGAGGGTCCCACCCAAGAAATGAGGGGGCCCGGGACTCCCAGGGCCGGGGGCGG